TTAACTCAAGACTAAACGTAATACTAATATTTTTAGGCCAGCGCCCACAACTACTCATGTCTCTTATTGTTTAATTTTGGAATTAGAAGGAAAAATAAAAATGACTAATATTTTTTACTCTTATGATATCGGTGTCTTAGAAATTGGGTTGGTATTTAGGACAAGGCTGATTAGTTTTGTAACTTAAAAAATAAAATTATTAATAATATTAATTAAATATAATATAATATATTATAGATAATAATTTATAATTAATAAAAATTAAAATATGTAAGATGAAAAATAAAGGATTGAAAAGAGAGAAAATGAAGGTTAACTATAATATTTTAATCTTATTGTTTAATCTTATTATATTAAATATATATATATATATATATATTATTTTTATATAAATATATATATTTTTTTTATCAACAAAAGAAAACTTTATTGATGCACAAGGCTAAATACAAGCAAAGAATATCAACAAAACAAGGAAGAGCACTTAGCAACAAAGCAAACCTCAAATAGATTTAAACAAATATAATCTAAGATTGGACGAGTTAGAATGGCGTGGGAGAAACAAAATTTGTCGTTGCGCCCACTTCTTCTTTGGGCCAAAGAAAATCTATACGGGCGGCAACGGCTGGAGATGCAGGGTAGAGCGGTTGGGAGAAAATACAATCCTAACAAAAATTGTTTTAGAAATAAATAAAAAATGTATTGTATTTAATAAAAAAATATTTTGAAAATAATAAAATGTTTATCTAATTTTACTCTATTTGTTGTGCCATAGAGGCACTAATTAGCAAAACTCATATTTATGAACATGTAATTTTATAAAAATAGAATTAATATACAAAACTTCATATAAAATGATGTGACAATAATACTTTTAAAATTATCATCAACAATGATGGATTTTTTTTTTTATTTTTTTATCAATGATATAAATGTGACACCAATAGAGATGGGCCTTTTTAATTTTTAATTAATTAATATAAATAAGATATATCATTCGATATGAATGAAGTCTATATTGAGCGTATTTTATATGGTTAATACTATATAAATAAAATTTCATATAAAAATGGACAAATTGCATTAGTAGTCCATGTATTTTGGTCATTATGTCATTTTGGTCTCTATAATTTCAATTGACTCGATTTTAATATTTAATTTATTATGTTATTTCAATTTAGTCTAATTAATTACAATTCTTAAAAAAAATTTATGAAAAATATGCATATAACTGACATGTGTTGAGCCCTATATAGATGAGCACATAATAAATCAAAAGAATATATTTACTATGTCATATTATGAGTCAAATTATAAAAAAATTTTCAGAAGTCTCAAACATTTTTCATTATATACCAAATATATATTGAGTATTCTCAATTTTTTTTACAAATATAAGTTATTTTCATTATTTTTGTTTTAAAATAATAAAATCAAAACTACCTTATCAGTTTGATTTAATTTTGGGTAAATTACAATCACCTCCTTTGAGGTTTAAGAAAAATATAGTTAGTCTCGCACTTGTAACATTCAGTCGGGCATTCGGCCAATCGTTCGGTGGATTCACACTCAACGGCTATGCACAGTAAATTGCTAAAAAGTGCAAGACATCCTCAGTTTGGTGAAAAATTTGGGCCGTTCTCAATTTGATATGGTTTTGAAAAAACTGTAGGAAAAAAAAAATTGTCTGTTTCACCACATTTAAATTTGGTGATGAATTTGGTGAATCGTTAGAGATGACCTATCAAATCAAAAACAAATACATACCATATCATATGGTGAGTCAAACTAAAAAAAAAAAAAATTACAGGTCTCTTAAACATTTTTCTTTATATATCAATCTAGTATTTTTAATTTATACAAATATAAGTTATTTTCATTGTTTTTGTTTTAAAGAAATAAAATCAAAACTACCTTATCACTTTGTTTTAATTTTAGATAAATTACACTCACCTTCTTTGAGGTTTGAAAAAAATACAATTAGTCTCATACTTTTAACATAATTATACTCACATTCATTCTAGTAAGGCTAAATTGATCCAAACTAATGCAGATGGTAAGTAGATATTGAAATAAACATGATTAATATACATTTTAGTAGAAAAGATATGACGGCATCATTTTTTTTTTTTCATACGAGTAATAAATTATCAATGAAAAATATTATAACTATTCGATAAATTAAAATTTCAAAAAAAAAAGTAATATAATTATGTAAAAAAAATATGATACTAATTATATATATATATATATATATTTCTAAACATATCAAGAGGGTGAGTGTAGTTCACCCTTTACTTTTATATAAAAAATTTCAATTTTTAATAACACTAGTCATATATAAAAGATGAAAAAAAATTTGCTGTGCAATGCACTCTGTCACAAAATTACGTAAATTTTCATAAATTTATATAGGTGATCTCAAAAAAATTCATAAATTGAACATAAATTCAAATAAATTTTATATTTTTATGGACTTACGCAAATTTATATTCAACTTATTATTTTTATGAGAAAATTTATATAAATTCCTAAAAATAATAAAATTACGTACCTTGGATATTGCACATTGAAACATTTCTGGTGTTGTTGACTCAAATCATTGGTAAACTCAAATCATTGGTAAACAACATTTAGGGTAAATTACACTTACACCTCTGAAATTTGGATTTAATACATATCATTCTCTGACGTTTGAGAAATTACACCAACTCTTCTGTCATTGTAATTATTTAGACGAAATGAATATATTGAATTCATGCACTCTCTCTTTTTTTGCTTTGCTTTACTTTCTTTTTTATTTCCCCTTTCCTTTACTTTTTTTTTTTAAATGTAATTTTCTCAATTTTTTCACTAGGAGTTGTTACCTTTTATATAAGCATGTGGGTTTGTGAAATAACACTATTAACCACAAAGGTAAGAATGTAATTTCCAAAACGTCAGGGGATGGGTAGTAATTGGACCAAACCTTAAGGGGTGTCAATGTAATTTATCCCAAAATTTAATATAATTGTTCAATTTTTTTTAGGGTAAACTATCAATAGATTTTAATAGTTGGATTTAATTCCGATCAAGTCCTATTAAAAATAATTCTTGGTAAAATTATCGCTAAAATTAATTTTTTGTGACAATTTTTTATATATGTCGCTAAAATTTAGCAATTAGTGACTTTTTTTTGACAAATTTTTTGCATATGACCTAATAAAAAATAAGGGTAAATTACACTAACACTCCCTAAGGTTTATATTTATTACAATTCCCCCCTCACGTTTTGGAAATTACATCTCCCCCCTGAGGTTTAAAGCTTCATTACAGATTCCTCCCTCAGCAATTTAATTTTTTGAAATACCAATTTTGCTCTTATTGATAAATTACATTGACACCCCTCACATTTTAAAAATTACAATCCCCTCCCTAAGATTTAAAGTAGCATTACAAATTGCCCCTTCCGTTAGTATTAGTTCGAAAAAGAAATTAATTGAAAAAAAAAATTGTTAGTAAACTTTTTAAATTTCTGTTTAAAAACCAACGTAAACTCATTTTTTGAATTTACGTTTTTTCCTCAAATTTACAAACTGAGACAACCATTTATAAACTAAAAAAATTATCAAACAAGTTTTTATGACAGTTTTTTTAATTTTTGTAAATAAAAATTAAAAACTGAAAACGAAATGGTTACCAAACAGGTTTCAGATGATAAAAATGTCATAAAATTAACAAATAATTAAATAAGTTACCAAAAGATTTATAAAAGATTTTTAGGCTATGTATGGTTTGATTTATAGAAAAAAAATTTAAAAATTAAAAATTAATTTGGTTAAGAAATAAAAAATAAGAAATAACTATCATTTTTATATAATTTTTATCTTTCGAGTGGTTAGAAATATTTTTTTACAAATTAAATTGAAACAGTCATAAGTCATCCCAAACATACAAGTTTTTTTTACCTACCTTTTTAGCCAAATAGCCAAAAAGTTACTAAATTAGCATGTTCCCAAACGAGGCCATGTATAGTTTGATTTATAGAAAAAAAAAATTAAAAATTAAAAATTAATTTGGCTAAGAAATAAAAAATAAGAAATAACTATCATTTTTATATAATTTTTATCTTTCGAGTGGTTAGAAATATTTTTTTACAAATTAAATTGAAACAGTCATACGTATGTATATAACCTGCCCAAAAGTTAAAATGATAATTATTTTTTACCCTTAAATGATAATTATTTTTATTTTTTATTTCTTAACCAAATTATTTTTTAATTTTTTAAAAAAAATTAAAAATCAAACCATACATAGCCTAAGAATCTTTTAATAAGTCATTTTTTACGTTGGTAACTTATTTAATTATTTGTTAATTTTACGACATTTTTACCATATGAAACCTATTTGGTAACTATTTCGTTTTCAGTTTTCAATTTATATTTACAAAAATTTTAAAAACTGTAATAAAAACTTATTTGATAATTTTTTTGGTTTATAAATGGTTGTCTTGATTTGTAAATTTGAAGAAAAAACATAAATTCAAAAAATGAGTTTATGTTGGTTTTTAAACAGAAATTTAAAAATTTTACTAACAAATTTTTTTTCTAATTAATTTTTTTCCAACTAATACTAACGGAAGGTGCAATTGGTAATGTTACTTTAAACCTTAGGGAGGGGATTATAATTTTTAAAATGTGAGGGATGTCAATGTAATTTATCAATAAGGGAAAAATTAGTATTTTAAAAAATTAAATTACTGAGAGAAAAAAATCTGTTGTAAAACTTTAAACTTTAAGAAGACAAATGTAATTTCCAAAACATGAAGAGGAAACTAATATAATTTACTCAAAAAAAACAAATTCATTTATTAGCATCTGGCCGCAAGTACCGATTTTATTTTTACAACTCAATTTCATAAAAACAGTTATAAAACTAGTCTATGCCGAAGTTTTAATAAATGCGTTTGCACTACGCGTTTGCACTCCTTGACCAAATTCATATATAAATATCACCAAAGGATCAATCAACTCACCCAAACATCCATATCTGAGTCATTAATTCTTCCTATCCTCTCTCTCTCTCTCTTCAAGATCTCTCTCAATCAATTAATCCACAAAACTCCATTTCTAAATCCACTACCACCACATCATCATCATGTATTCCTCAAACCCAACTGATTATCAGAAATTCACTGCGTCACCACAACAATCAGCCCCACCGCCGTACAGCCATCCAGCGACTGGCATCCCAGTTAGCTCCACCAACCAATTCTACCATGAGATGCCCCACCACCAACCACCCTCAGCGCCGTCTCTGTACGGCCAACCCCAAAGTGGAGTCCCAGTTAACTCCGGCAACCAATACTACTCTGAAAAGCCCCAACCAGCAATCCAGGTTCTGCCCAAATCACAAGTACCATGGTCCACCGGCCTTTGCGACTGCTTCGACGATGTCCCTAACTGTAAGTTCCATCGTTTTTCTAACCTGTACCTGGGTGTTTTTTAAGATTGGGGGTGGCAAGTGAATTTCATGCGCTGCCACCAAAGAGGTTTGACTAAACTCAGAGGTGGTTTAACAACCACCTAAATATATAAGTGACTTCTTTATTTATTTGTTATAAATTATCACATTAATTTTTTTATTTTTTACATATATATTTATAAAAAATTACTAAATAAGTTGTACCCAATCCAACCCCTCAGTGCAGATGTTTTCACGTGTCTTTGTTTTGTGACATTTTTTCTTGTTTTTTTGCAGGTTGCATAACTTGCTGGTGTCCTTGCATCACTTTCGGACGGATTGCTGAGATTGTAGACAAAGGATCAACATGTAAGTACTAATAAGGACCTGTTTTTCTTATGAGGTGAAATAGTTAATATATTTGGGAATTGTTTTCTTAATTGTATTTAAAAAAAGTAAAATAAAATTGTAAGCGCTCTGCTAGAATAGGAATACTTATATGATCAGATCACATATCTCATGACATCTACAATTTCGAGAATTGATTTTTTTTTTTTTTTTTGAAGTATATTTAATCTAACTGTCAATGTTCAATAAACTAGATTAGGAAAGCTCCTTTATTTGAATCATACAAAACGAACTATTCATATCAATGTAGACCCATCCGCACCCTCAAAAAAATTATTTTATCCAAAGTTATAAAAAAAAAATTTAATTTTTAATTTTTGAAAATTACCCCACTAAAGTTTTTAAAATACTACTATTGGCTACGATTTTAAAAATTGTTTTTGAAATTACTGCATTACTCTATTCGTATAAACTTACCGACATTTATTTTAAAGATTTTTTTAGTTATTATAATGAAAAATAGTACACTCCAAAAATTTTGTCAAAATTTTTAGTAAATGTCTCACGTATCTGTGAGACTCACAGAGTCACACATTATTGATAAAAAAAATAAATAAATAAATTATTAAAATTTTTAAATCTTTAGCACTAAGCTATTATTATTTAGTACATTTACAACAGCCGTGTGCGATTGGAAATTATAATAAGATGTTTGGTGGTGATGTTTTTTTGGGTGCAGCATGTGGGGTGAGTGGGGCTCTATACACATTAATATCAATTGTGGTAGGGTGTCCATGCTTCTACTCTTGCTTCTATCGTTCAAAGATGAGGCAACAATACCTATTGCACGAAAGCCCTTGTGGTGATTGCTTGGTTCATTGCTGTTGCGAGTCCTGCGCCTTGTGTCAAGAGTACCGCGAGCTCAAAAATCGTGGTTTCGACATGACCATAGGTATTTTTTCTCTCCTTTCTCTCTCTCTAAATATAAAAACACATATATAAATATTATTTAATATCAAATTTATACTATTATTTTGTTTCAAAGTTCATATGTATTAATCAATAGAAGTAATAAATAAGACTTCCTATCATAGGTGAGAAATCACAATTACATAAAATATAAAAAAATTGGGGGATGCACCAATAAATCTCAAATTAATAACTTATACACTGTTTAGTCCTAAAAGTTTTCTTATAGACTGAAAAGTCCCATTACAATGTTTCAAACATCAGATTAATGTTTCGAACATTAAATTTCGAACATCAGATTAATGTTTCGAACATTAGATTTCGAACATCAGATTAATGTTTCAAACATTAGATTGATGTGCAAATGGGGCTAAATGGAGCATAAGAAAATTTTTAGGACTAAATGGTTCAACTTTTCAGAAACTAGGACTTATGGGTAAATTTTCCAAAAAATTTGATAAAATATGCCAATGATATATAATATTCTTATATATTTATACACAATATTAATAATAGAGTTAGGATTTTTGTCAAATGAAGGACAAGTATTATTAAAACTATACCCATAAAAAATAGAGAGCGGAGAATCAAAACTTAAAATTAAAAATAAAATAAAATATTTAGACGAGCAAATTAGTATTGTCCAAACACTTTGTGGGAGCAAAAAATAAAATAAAAATATTAATAAATTATAAATAAAAAAATATTTTTTCTGAAGTCAATAGGCCAACAGCCGCCACTTGGCCTGCCACAGTGCACAATCATATAGCTAACTATATTTATCACTTTGGGACATGTACATAAGGGATTATTAGTTTTGCGTTTAATACTTTTTGATATTGGCCCTGTTTGGTAGAGCTGTAGGAAAGTGCTTATAGCTTATAACTTTCAGCTTAAGCTGATTTCCAGCTTATTCTTAAAGCATCTCCTGCCCCACTCAAAGAATAAGCTGTTTTCTGACTTCCACAAAGCTATAAGCTATAAGCTATAAGCTAAACCAAACACATCAAAATAACTTAAATTAAGCTGAAAGCTGAAATAAGCTGAAATTAAGCTGTACCAAACAGGGCCATAGTGGGTTTTCCTTGAATATTGTGGCTGAGTTATGGGTCATGAGGGATGATTTAAATCTCACAACAGAGTGGAACCTTATTAATCTTGAAAGTTAAAACGGATGCACAACTTGTAAAACTCCTCCTCTTGGATAAGACACATGAGCCATATTTTGGAAAGTGAGTTATAATTCACTTCTCTCTTATAAAAAAATTGTTTATAAGTAACTTTTTATTAAAAAACTGATTATAATCATCTTTCCAAAATAGTCATGAGTTTCATCAGTATACGAACATAAAAAAAAATATTATATATAATAATAAAGAAATTCAACGAAGAAAATGATTAGTATCACCACACGATCACTATCTGCAAGACAAAACACTCCCACCCTTAGTCGGGGGCCCTCTGAGACCCAAGTTAGTCCTCAAATATTATCAAAATATTTAATGTACTAATTTATAGACAGAAATTGCGTACCTCAACCTATGAGGGTGTTGCCTATTTATAATATCCAGTGACTTACCTCACAAGTAGTTTAAATGTTCCAGAAGTCTTATCTCAAACAATCTTCAGTTGTTTAAGACTTCTATATCGATAAGATTTCATATCCTGACGAGTTTTGCATAACATAAAACACTAATGCAGTATTTGATAAGAATTTGACAACTGTCATGCATGTGATAATCCATAACCATGTCACATGGCAATGCCTAGACCCATATAATTCTTGTGGTTATTTTTATTTCCTTCTCAAGTTTTAAAAAAAAAAAAAAAAAATCATCAAGGAGTGTATTTGATAGGAAACTAATATATATAACAATTTCATAGGAAAATAAAATTTAGTTGATAAAATTGTGTGATGTTTCCATTGAAAAATATAAAAATGATTCTACAAAAACGGGACACCTAGAGCAGAAACCACAAAAACCATTAACTGTCGCCGTTGCCGGGGATCGAACCCGGGTCACCCGCGTGACAGGCGGGAATACTCACCACTATACTACAACGACATTCTTATTAAAGTCTGACGAGTACTTTTACAAGTTCCTTTTTCATGGTTTGTTTAATAGAAAATATCCGGACTATGGGTAATTGCATGATTTTAAAAAAAATAATTAAATATTCATCGCAAAGTTTTTAATTTTAATTATTAATATTTATAAAAAAAATTAATTTGTAATTATTTTTTTTAAAATTGCACTAATTTGATATTTCTCAAAAAAAATTGTATTGAAATATATAATTATAAAAATAAATAAAAATACATGGAAGCATGTAAATGTTGCATTAAAATTTCGACAAACTTCACCTTATTCCATGTGGTTTAGGTTATGTGCGGTTTATCTCCCTAATATTTGAAAATGACCAAATAAATCCATATGATTTGTGAACTAAAATACACTGTTAAACATTTCGTCCAACTTAACAGTAAATGTGAAAGACATGATTGATATAAGGGGATTATATACTCATTTTCAAATTTTGAGGGAGTAAATCGCACGTTAAATAAAATACAAGGGGTTAAATTGCACATGAAATAAAGCACTGGAAGTTAAAGTGTACTTTATCTTCCAAACAAATGACGAAAATATAAGAGTATTTTAGTCTTTTTCATTAAATCGTTAACGGACATAAACGGTGCACTTCAGTTCACAAATCACAAAGGGATTATATGATCATTTCCAACCGTTAAGGGATAAACCGCACATAACCCAAACCATAACGGATTAAGTGAAGGTTGCCCTTAAAATTTTAAGTTTTTTCCCCTTTTGGCAACACAAAAAATAAGTACCTTATTAGTTTATTGGGTTCATATCACTTTTCTATTTTTCTGAACGTCTTTTCATAATAAGCAAAAAAGTCAACAAAAAAAAAGTAGATGTTTGATAACTTGATTTACCACTTTTGATAATTATAATTGATATCATTTAAGAATTTAAGTATCTCTTAAAATGTAGGCTAAAATTTTTAAAAAAATCAAGTCATATGAAACTTACTTAATTCTGACTGAATTTATAAATATTAAACATAAGTATCAAAATATACTATTATAAACTCACTACTATCACCACCACCACAACCACCACCATCATGCCACCACCATCGCCACCATTACCATCGCTACTACTATCACCACCACTACTATGCTGCTGCCACCACCGTTATCACAACCACCACTATCATATATGTCACCGCCACCACTACCGTTACCATTACCATCACCATCACCATCACTGATACCGCTACCATCACCACCACCACAACCACAACCATCACCGCTACCATTCTGCCACCGCCACCACTACTGCTACTGCCACCTTCATCACCATTGTCATTATTGTCATAAGCATTACATCATTTTACTATCACCACCACCACCACCATCAATACTACCACTACCACCATCACCACCAACATTACCACATTATTACAATATGAAAATTGAAATATATACAATTTGAAAATAATAAATTTCAAATTTTATCTTATACATATTAAATAATTTATTTTTAGTTTAGCATTTCATTTTTTATCAAACAATTTTTTAACTTAAAATATTCAACATTTAATTTTAAATACTTAATTTTTAGTGTTCAGTTTTCATTTTTTAATTTTATGAAACATCACATAAGCCATACCCAAAATAAGACTAAGGCCCCGTTTGGGGATTTACCTTTTTAGCTAAAAAGTCAAAAAGTTACCTTTTTAGCCAAAAAGCCAACAACTCATATCAAGAAGTCAAAGATTATCTTTTCGTAATTAGCCAAAAAGTCATCCCAAACATATAAGTTTTTTTTACCTACTTTTTTAACCAAATAGCCAAAAAGTTACTAAATTAGCATGTTCCCAAACGAGATAGAAAAATTATTATAAAAACTTATAAAAAGATGAAAATTCAAGAAACAAAAGTAATTACTATTAACACTATTATAGGAATAAGGGTGAATTATAGTAAAACTCTTAAATTATAACTCGTTTGCACTTTATCCTATAATTTTCAAAACTCAACAGTTAATCTCCTCCAAGTATTATTTTATTACATTTAACTTTTTTTTTTGTTAGAATTCTGTTAGAAATTTAAAAAAAAATTAGATCATGTATAAAGCATATAACACATTTATTAAATTTTTAGGACAATAATAATAATTATTGATTGAATTAAAATAATAAACTCAGTAGTGGAGATAGAATTTATTGTAAGGATTCAATTAATAGTCCATACATTTTATGAGTATTAACTTGCTAAAAAAATAAAAAATGCAAAAAGCTAAAAACATCCAATTTTATTTTTTACTTTGAATTAAATTTTCAATAAGAATAACATTTTAGCAAACTTTTTCAATATTTTTTCATGTTAAAATTTGGTAGTCTCTCCAACTATATAATTTAGTGGGGTCAATTTGATAAAAATTCAAAATGTCTTCTAATCTTTTGAGTTATCCTATGAGATTACAAAATATTTTAATAGTTATCCTATGAGATTACAAAATATTAGTTAAAATAGTGAATCAACTCTAATTATGTAACAACCCAGATTTTTAATGTAGAATTTATACTAATATTATTTAGGGTTGGTTTGGGATGTTCTAAAAAAGTACACTTTTTGACTTATTGGCTTATATAGGTTGGGTTTGGGTTGGGTTTGATGTGATGTGTTAAAGAGGTGATGTGATTTAAATAAGATGATGTGATTTAAATAGGATAGTGACTTTTTGAATTTTTATATTATTTAGGTTATGCCAAACTTAGCCTAAGTTCGGAAAATATATAATTTATTATATATTATTATGTGTAATTTTATAAAATAATATAATTATTAAAAGTTTAGGGGTCAAAATATAAATAATAATAATATAGATAATACAAATAATAATAATAATGGGTGTGGTATTAAAATAAATAATTAATTTTCTATTAGTATGTGATAATGTGTAATTTAATTAAGAATTAATTAATTTATATAATCATATTAAAATATCGAGTTAAAAGGTAATTATTTTAAGGAACGATTCTATATAATTATAATCGAATCTGCTGATTGAATTGGGGAGGAGGGACGCGTGTTGACTGAAGAGTGGGGTTCACCTCCCTATATATAGGGGTGGTGATTCGGCTGAAAGAAGAAAAAGAGAAAAGGAGAAACAGAAAAGGAAAAGAAAAGAGAGAAGAGAGGAAAG